TGATCAGGATAGCATTGATTCTATAAATTGCTCTTGGTAGTATGGAGCTGAATTAGTCTTAAGAAAGAAGAACAAACTGATGGCATCACACTTCCTGATTTCAAATATATTGAAAAGCTAAGTGTGGATATTTCCAGTACATTGGTTGAGAGACTATCCTTTCCCTACTTTTTCTTCTTGGCATCCTTATCAAACACTATTAAACTCCTTGAAGTTGGTCTTGACAATCATTTCATGGATTATATAAGCTGAATGTTATGTCCTCTTAAATTCATATATTGAGATCTCATGCCCCAGTTTCAGAATATCTGAGAGGTGAGGCTCTGCCCTCAGAAATAGGATTAATGTTCTTCTTAATTATTGTTAAAAGACATTGGAAAGATCTCTCACCACTTTGTACCATATGAGATCTCACATGTAACACATGAAGGTTACAGTGGAAGACGGTGATGTACAAGGAAGTGGGATCTCATCAGACACAGAATTTGCTGGTGCCTTTTTGTAGGATATCCCAATCTCCAGATCTGTGATTACTGAATCTTATTTACACACTTATTAGTCTATGACACTTTGTTATACAGACTGAATAGATTGAAACAATGAATATGATGCCAGAAGCACAAACAACAAAAACAAAAATAGCCGGCGCCGCGGCTCACTAGGCTAATCCTCCGCCTAGCGGTGCCGGCACACCGGGTTCTAGTCCCGGTCGGGGCGCCGGATTCTGTCCCGGTTGCCCCTCTTCCAGGCCAGCCCTCTGCTGTGGCCCGGGAGTGCAGTGGAGGATGGCCCAGGTGCTTGGGCCCTGCACCCCATGGGAGACCAGGAAAAGCACCTGGCTCCTGGCTCCTGCCATCGGATCAGCGCGGTGCGCCGGTCGCATCGCGCTGGCCGCGGCGGCCATTGGAGGGTGAACCAACGGCAAAGGAAGACCTTTCTCTCTGTCTCTCTCTCTCTCACTGTCCACTCTGCCTGTCAAAAAAAAAAAAAAAAAAAAAAAAAACAACAAAAATAAAACATGTAGCACAACATCAAACTATATAAAGTTCCTATATAGAGAAGCAATCAAGAGTGGAAAAGCAGCCTAAGGAATGGAAGGAAATATTTGAAAATCATGTATTTGATAAGGGGTTAATCTCTAAAATATATAAGGAACTTCTACAACTCAATAGTAAAGAAACTAATAATTTGATTTTAAAATGGGCTAAAGACTTGAGTAGATTTATCCATAAAAAGGACACACAAATTCCACAATTGAATAAAAAATTATCAACATCTCTAATTATCAAGGAAATGCAAGTCAAAACCACAATGAGACATCACCTGTCTTGTATTATGCTACAGTGACAACAATATGCTGAGATAATACCCTTTGTTGTTTTTAATTCATTAATTTATGAGGAAGGTGGGATATATTATTGAACATAAATCAGTTGTTATCTTTGGCATCTGAAGATTAAAGGAGACTTTAATAAATACACTTGCTAATTCCCTCCTCCCTCCCTTCCTACCCCTCCCCACCCATTGTTGGCACTGGTTACACATCCACATCCACATGAAAGCAGAATATATCACTTCTGAGTTCTACTTATCCTTGCATAAGTCTCAAGTATCAAAATTGATTTCTTAAAATGTTAATTTGAAAAACAGCAGAGATAAGATTCAAGGATGCTTGCTTTTTGAGAAGGATTATTTATTAAGGGAAAGACTTGTCCTTTGAAAATTATTATCATAATTATCTCTAAGAACCCAATTCTATATTTCTTATTAAGGCGAAATCCCTATTAGGCTAACACAAGAAGGATGTTGATTGCAGTGGGGTATCTGTCTGAATAGGGCTAAGTAATCAGCTTTGAAATGTCACTCAGAGGGAATCAGCAGGGAAGAGGCTATTTCCTGGCAGATCTCAATGCATTTTTTTTTTGAATTTTCAGGCGTTTGACATTGTCCTTGTGTAGGTAATTGTTCTGAATAATTCTGGAAGCAATATTTATGACTCACAGAAAAAATATATTGGAATAGAGGAAACAGTGTGGAAACCCAAGAAGCCATATCAACTCACTGCCTATGTTAGGAGCCACTGAATCATGACCTCTCAGAGTTAGTTTTGTTTGGTCTCAACCCACACTGGTAAATAATTCTACTCTACAGTCACCTTGCCACAATGTTTTTCTGTCTCATGCTAGGAAAATTGGAGGCCTGCAATGACAGACAGACCACTTCAGCCTTCTCTATCTTCAATTGCAGGGCTTGACTCTATTTCTTGGGGCTGTACAAGAGTTTTGTGAGTAAATAATGAGGATGCAATTTAGTTTAAATCATTTAAAACATTTAAAATCTCAATACAATAGGTACTTGACATTTTAATACTGTTATTCTCCAGACATTAAAATATTACTATAGTGCATAATTTCCACCCTAAAGTATATCAAGACCTCAAGTGGCAACCCACCACTGAGATTCCAAATGCTAAGAAGTTGACTAGTTTCACTACCCAAGGATTTTGTAAAATATTTTACCTTCTTAATTGCCTCAACTCTTATATATATATATAGATATATATATATACCTATATATATATGTATATACATATATATATACCTTTCTTGGGGCCGGCACTGTGGCATAGTGGATAAAGCCACCACCTGTAGTGCCGGCATCCCATATGGGCGCCAGTTCAAGTCCTGGCTGCTCCACTTCCAATCCAGCTCTCTGCTATGGCCTGGGAAAGCAGTGGAGGATGGCCCAATCCCTTGAGCCCCTGCACCCACGTGGGAGATCTGGAGGAAGTTCCTGGCTTTGGATCGGTACAGCTACGGCCATTGAGGCCAACTGGGGAGTGAACCAGTGGATGGAAGACCTCTCTCTCTTTCTCTCCCCCCACCCCCGCCTCTCTGTCTCTGTGTAACTCTGACTTTCAAAGTAAATAAATAAATCTTTTAAAAAATAAAATAAACCTTTCTCTTATTCTACAAAAATGTTTAAGGCACAGGGGTGAAGCTTATATATATAAAACAGGCACTGTACTAAACTCTGGGTATTTAAGACTAAAAAGATTTAATCACATTCCTTACAGTATTAGCAATCAATAGAAGAGGCAGTTAACAGACAAGTAAACAAGTAAATGTTAAATACATATAGGAAAAAATACAAATATGATAAGTGCTCTAAAGAAAAGGAAGAGGTAAACAAACATGGTACATTGTAGAAGAAGGTTTCTTTGAAGGAGTGACATTTAAGGTGAAATAGTCATATAAAAAGCAAGAGAAAGAATATTCCCAGAAGGTACACATTACATATAAATTCAGAGAGACTGAAAAAAGTGCAGGGCATTTGAAAGTTTGAAAGGTCAGTGTGACTGCAGAGTAGCGAGACAGGTAGAAGGAGCAGTAGATAACTGAATTTTGTCATATAGGCCAGAGCCTGATCATCTCAGGTCTTCTAGACCCATTGTAAGGAGTTTGGATTTTATTCTTATGCAGTAGGAAATTATTGAAAAGGTATTAGTGGGAAAATGACATGTTTATATATCAGAGCAAACTTGTGGCAAACCAAGTGTGGAAGTAGGGTATGGACTTTGCTCTTTAGCTCCAGGGAAAGCAGTGGTAAAAGTCTGGGAGAAATATTGCTGCGGTTGTTATGAGGAAAACTGGGAGGAGTCATGTGTGTCAATACCATGCAGGAAACCACAAAACAGTCCAAGTGAGATGGTGGCTTAAATCAGAGTGGCAGCAGTGGAAAAGAAGAGCAGTGCAAGTGATGGACATGTACATTCAATGCAGAAATGACCAAGATATTGTGTTGATATCATGCACCTAGATTAGGTAGATGTCGTGCCAGCTACTGAAGTGGAGCAGTTTGGGGAGATCTGCGTGGCGGGATGCATGGATAGTGTAGTTTGAGGCAGAATGTTGCCATGGAGGTACTGGAACGTGTCTGGAAGGAGCTGGTTAGTAGACATGTGTAAATCTGATCTCAGAGGAGAGGTTTCGGGTTGTAAATGTGGTATATGGGAACACATCAACGGAATTTAAAGTCATGGGAATGAATGAGACACCCTAGAGAAAAGGTGATGAGGGAGAACCAGAGAGAGTTCAGGACTGACTCCTGGGGAAAGGCAACAGTTAGAGGTCTAAGAAAGGAAAATCAGATGGATTTGGCAATGAGATAGAAGGAAATTCAAGAGCACAGTGTCAATGAAGCAAAGAGTTGGGGAGATGAGAAGAGAGAGAAGGATGAGTGGTCTACTGTGATGAATGCAGGTAAGAGACTGGTGCCTGTCTTCAGAGAGCATAAACATTATATCAAAATGCTATATGGCTATCATCCTAGTTACTACATGTGTGTCTCACCCACTAGCATGTTTGTACTGTTCATCTGCAGGAATGGTGACTACTCTCTGAGTCGTGAGCACTGTGAGGTGACATACTTTAAAGAAAAGACTTGAATCCTTTTTATGAATTTTGATTCTCCTTGAATTCTCTGGATAATTTCCACAATTCTCCCTGTTCTTGCTACCTTATACAGAATCTATAATCTTCAAAAGTCTTCTTTTCACATGCAAAACTATCTCAGAAGCAGTTTATCTTTTGAAAGTTATCCATGTTCACTTAACAACACATTAGCTCTTCACCTTCAGTGGGTTTGAGTTGTCATGTTGTAGGTGCCTTGGAATAGGAAGCTTATCGGAAAGTTAGGGCAAGTTTTCCCCAGAGGGTGGAGAGTAGTTTTAAATTCGAAGTGGAGAAAAAGTTCCATATCTTAAAATAGAAGCAAATTTTTTCTCTGTTTCACATTCTCTCAAGATATCCGCAATCCTTTTTACACTTTCTATTTATTATTAAATACAAGCAATTTAGCTCCTTTGTAAGGTTATGCAAATAACTCATCCAGAATTAGCATTTAACATGCAGTTCTTATATCCACACAAATGTTTTGTATAAAGTTGTTTTAAAAAGATTCAAATCTTTATAATTAGGAAGGGAAAATATATTAATAGGAATAAAGGGATACTCTGCTAATCTCCCATATGCAAATTAGCTTATAATTTCCGTCATTTACTTTAGAAGCAGCAGAACAATGGAACTTTTATTCTTCAATATTGCTGTCTCTCTCCTACTGCTGCCAGAAAGTATGTGCCTATACATGTATATCTACAGAAAAATAACAGGAATGTTAAATATTTTAGTTCTGTGGGAAGGAGATGGTTGGGTACCTTGTAAGTGGGAATGAAGTTGATAATTTTGTGTTTGGCAGCCTAAAGGACGGACTGCAGTGCACACACTCTTGGGCTCTCATTTCAAGTGCTTGTGCTTCTTCATCCTCTGCTGGCAGGGCTGGGTCCACCTCTGCTGCAGGGACATTTCCTCCACTGTCGCTCCCCCTCTTCATGGAGGAACGACACTAAACCCTGCCTAGGCTTCATATCCGAGTCACGGCACCATTATGTCACTCCCCCTCTTCGTGGAGGAACGACACAGGACCCTGCGCTGTTCTTTTGTCTGCTCGGCCCTCCCCGGGTTTGCTGCTGGTTCTTCCCGGGTTGGCTACCATCCCTTCCACCTCCATGGAAGGGCGGTTCCCCCTAGCCACTTTCCCCACTTCCGCGGGGAAGCGGCACACCGCCGGCTGGCTCTCTCGGGGGCTGCACAGGTGTTCCTTCAGATAGATGTTCCTGGTGCATGTTGTCTCTCTCCTCCTTTATAGTCCTCTTCCACCAATCCCAACTCTACTACCCACACGCCGAGTATGCTGCTCTCCTCCAATCAGGAGCAGGTCCTGCTGTTTATTGGTTGAACTGGAGGCAGCTGTGTAGAAGCTGTTTCCTCCTCTCCCAGCGCCATATTGTGGGAGAGCAGATGCATAGAATAAGTCTTAATTCCAGTAACTTAGTCTAGTCCGAGTTGCTCCCAGTTGCTCCCCACACTCCACAGTCTCCCCATCCCCACAGAGGAGGTTCTAGTTGAGTGTGTGGAAAAACTGTTCACTTCCTTGAGGGGTTTTCACTTTGCTTTCATCTCTTGCTAGGTCTTTGGAAAAGAGGCTGCAGGTGACATTGGTCAATAGTATAATACTAACTGGCTGGATTCTTCAGTCTCACCAGCTTCTAGAGCTTGACTTTTCTCTTTCAAGATCCCCAAATGGCAGTACACAGTCCTTGGGTTTAGTATCATGAGGTGAATTAGAAGGAGGATGGTGAAGGATTCAAAACCAATTCAAAGAATCACTGAAAGGATTAGGTTATAAGCCTGGAAGTGCAAATGGTAACTCTGAAGTGCTTTAAATAGAAAGCTGGTTTAAATATGTTCCTTACAGTTGTCAAGTGATATAACTAGGGAAGTGGGTGAATTATATAAGGGATGCCAGTTTCTCCTTTAACAAAAATTTAGGAAACCACTCCATATCAGGCAGACTTCTGCCAAAGTAGACACAAGAAGAAAATAAACATTTATTCACTTCATGGAAGTTACTGTACAGTGGGGAATTAGACATACAAGTTAACAATTATGACGGGTAACAAAAAATGCAACTACCGAGGTATAGATAGTGTTGAATGACAGAATAGAAGGCTGCAGCCTATACTCAGAGTGCCAAGAAAAGCTCGAGTCACAGCTCCTTCTTCTTTATTTTCATGGTGATTACTCGCCCAGACCTCTAGATCTTTCACCCGAGCTTCTGCAGCTGTCTCAGGGTTGTCTTCCTGCCACCAGCTTTGCTGCTTCCACTCTTTCACCTACACTACAGCCAGAATAATATTTCCAAAATAATAATGTTTCCTTACTAAAAGGCTTTTGGGGCCAGCATTGTGGGACAATGGGTTAAGCCACCTTCCGCTGCTCCACTTCTGATCTAGCTCCCTGCTAATGCACCTGGGAAAGAGGTAGAAGTCGGTCCAAGTACTTGGGCCTCTGCCAGCCGCGTGGAGATGTGGATGGCATTTCAGGCTCATGGCTTCATCCTGGCTCATCCCCAGCTGTTGTGGCCATTTGGAGAGTGAACCAGCAAATAAAAGATTTCTCTCTCTCTCTCTCTCTGTCTCTCCCTCTCTCCCTGTAACTCTTTCAAATAAATAAATAAATATGAATTAAAAAGCCTTCAATAACTCTCCTCTACTCTATCAATAAAATCTAAATCCTTAATCTGGCCTAAACTTCCATCTCTAACCTTTTCTCTGATTGTTCTCTGCCTTAAGCTCCTGTGACTTGCCATTTCTTTTTTATTCCCAAGCCTCTGCACATGTAGCTGTCTGTGCCTGAAACCACCTACTCTACTCTCAGAATTCAAAAAAGAGAGGCACACATGTAAGGACATGCACACAAACACACACACACACACACACACACACCCTTCCCACTTCTGCCTTTAGCCTTATCAACATACTCTTTCTTCTCTGTGCTCTACAACACCCCGAGATTCCCTGATATTCCCTCTATGTGCACCTGCTATGTAGCGCTCTCTGTATACAGCTAGCTTGTCAATGAGTTCATTCCACTGTATTGTGTTTAGCTATTTCCTTTGCCATCACTTTTAATGGAGGGAAAGCTCCTAGGGTGTGGGGGCCATCTCTCATTCATCATTGTTCTCCTGGAAGCTACCGCAGCTTCAAGTACACTGTAGAAGGCAAGTATATATTTATTTAATACACAAGTAAGCTGGTAAACTTTTGAATGCTACTCCAATATTTGAAGAATTAAGATCCATGTTCTTGTCAGTATACAATCAAATATTATACATTTCAGTGGAGTCACTTTCAAAAATTTTGAACTTTGAACTTCCAAAAACTTAGAAAGTTTCTTTAAACATTCTCTGAATTGGACAAAATTCTAATTCCATATTGCAGCATTAAAGGTGCAGTTGACTTGTAAAGTATTCCATCAGAGTAAGAATGGCCAAGTCTAGCAAGTGTTATGACATTAAAAGTTGGTGGAATAACGAGTCACTTAGGCAAGTTTAAGAAGAATCGATCTTCAGTTTATCCCTTTCCAATCTCATAAAAGTGCAAGAGTTACAGCATCCTGGAAGAGACCCTGTCTTTCCCCAACCCTGTCTTCTTGCCCTTACTGCTTCAGTGACTTCCTGCAGGGAGCACCTGCATTTCTTTGCTTGGAGCTGTTCCTTGCTGCCAGATCTCATTTAACCTATGGGGGCAGGCTGGAAGTGCCGAGGAATTGACTTGCTTTTACATTCCTCAAGCAAAACTTACTGTAGTTAGTATGTAACTGCCCTTCAGCTGGGGTGCGACATGCATCCTTGAAGTTTCCCCCAGTGCTGATTCCAGCTGCATGAGGGAGGTTGGGGGACTGGCTTGATAACGTATCTTTCCTGGCTTTCTTCTCTTTCTTGTCTCCCTCCCACACTCACCTTCATAGTTTCCTAGTATCAGCACCCAAATCAACTCAAATCTTTATCTCAGGGTTTGTTTCAAGGGGAACCCCAAACTAAGATAACTGCCTGTAAGCAAATGTCTTCTCACCTTGGACCATGAACTTGTCAGAAAAGCTAGAGACAGATGGGAATTACCATGAGGGGCTTTCCTCCAACAGTGAACATAGAATAGGCAGGAGATTGAGGATGGAGGCTAGCTCAGGGGGCCAGGTTTGTAGACATGGTTTAACAAACTGTTGTTTGTATTACTTACAAAAGGTAGTTATGTACCTTCTCATATTCACACATCTCATAAATTTGATTAGGCCAAAACTTTTTGGAAACTTGATATTTATACACCAAGTTACCACGTGATAATTAAACCCAACAGTTGCAACACTATTAGCTTAAAAATGTTCCTTTCCATTCCTGAGTAGCCAGGGAGATCAGAGTTCTCACCTATGGATATATCAGAGTCAAATCAGAGAGACCTTCGGAATTTAGAACTAAGGTCTTATTAATTTTCTAATCCCACCACTCAATTTTACCCATGAAGAAACTTGGGCCTAAATTACCATAGAGAATAAAGTTGATCCCATAGAAGTCATGTGCACTCCTGAGAGGTAAAATGAGATACTCTTAGTCTCAGGTGGGTTCCAAATTCCTACCCCACTGTTCCTTCTGCCACATCCCAGCATCTCATAAGGCTCTTCTTGTTTCTGGTTATTTTAGATCAGAATTTCCTGGAGTGAATGATTTCCTAATGTGAGGTCAGCACTGGTTGCAGCATATTTTTTACGTGAGGACTCCAAAGGACTGTTGTGTCTTTCTACCATACTCAGACAACCAATAGAGTCCTCAAAATGTGCTTTTATTTTGACTAGGAGTCACAACATCAACTAGGAGTATTAATCAGAAGTCTACGACTGATTTTCTTCCCTTAGGTCTCTAGTAGCAGTTTCTCTGGATTCATCTGGATTCCTTCCATTGCTACTGTTGCAAGCCACATCCACATCAGCCTCCAGTTCCCCTTCCCATCAAAAAGGAGGTGCTACTTAGACAGCATTTTCCTCAGGAAATCAATGATTATTTTTAGATCTGCATAATTCAACTTTGTCATGTGATCCAGGAAATAAGGGTCCATTAGTTACTTCTTAGGCATTCCCCAGCAGCTCCATAAACTGCCCTTTTAGTTAGTACTATACAAAGAACTGAGAGTATCTCAATGAGCAAGAAATTATTTGTGGGAATAAAGACAGTATAAAGAAAAACTTGTGGGAATAAAGATGGTAAGTGTCCCAGGGAACTAGAAAAAGTCTTACATCTGGGGCTCACAAAGAAGGTTTGTATTCTGGAATTTTGTGATTAATACAACTTAAATTCTCTTTCCTGTTGTTTCTAAGAAATTTCTCTCTCCCTGCTGATTTTCTTCTTTATGACTCTGGCATTATTAGAGTGTCTGCTCATTTATAACCGTTACTGCCTCGTGGCCTCTGCAAATGGCCGCCTCTGTGTGTCCTTTCACCTTCAATTCCCCTGCTAATTGCTCAACCCTGTTTTTTTTTTTTAAATTCTACCTTTATATTCCTTAGAGAAAATTGCCATTGCCCTGCCTAATCAACATCATCCCTTTCTGGACAAAGCTGTTGTGTCAAACCACCTAGTCAACGTCTGGATAGCCTATAAATTGTCCGGCCTTTCATTGCCTGACCCAGGAGGCGCTATATTACAGGAAATGTTACATTAAATGCTTCAGGTGCTACTTAAATCTGCCTTCCTAGACCACTGGCTACAGTGGGGCTTCCCAGAATAGTCAGTAAACTGTGTCCTCTCTACTCCATGTCCCAGAGAGGAGGAGAGGAATATGGTGATAACGTCTCCTCCTTCTGAGACCTCATGCTCAGAACCTCACATTTCGTATGGAGTGAAGTGATTTTAGAGCTTCCTGGCAAATAATAAACTGAAATCTCTTTCTTCTTGAAATACCCTACCCCTTAAAAACAGACTCCAGCTCCCTACTCAAAGTTGGTAGCCTGAAAGTAGGGAACAATTGCAGATTCTTCCCTGCTCAACTTTATCTCATATAATAATTTAGGCAACAGAGAAAGTGGACTCTAGGCCTTTTTGAACCAAATCTTCTACGCATTTTGACACATGATTTAGTTTCAGGGAAAGTGTTTATTGCCTAAAAACCCTACCTCATGATAACTTGGATACTGAAAATTATGCATCTATGTTTTGGCCATCTTTATGGACGAAGAGACTCCTGAGTTTGGATGATTCATTTCTTGTGATACAAAGCATTTGGCATTACTAAATGAGGTTTAAATTGGAGAGACACTATACATTACACATGGAAAAAATTTGCATTTTAACATCTCCAGAATGCTATTAAATATTTCAGAAAGATCCATAAAGGAAAGTGTGTCCTAGAGCTTGAAATAGAAAGTGATTGGAAAAAGTAGAAACCGAGTTCCTATTTTTCAGAAAGAAGCCATATCATCCCATAAATCTTTGAAAAGAAGTTTTCTTGGGCTGCGCTCTAAGCATTCAAATGTTTCCCAGGAGCACCTTGACCTTAAATTAACATTTATAGAGTTTAGCTGACATCAAGCTTTGCAGTTTAATGGAAGGTTTAAAGTTGAAGAAGTACGTAGTCTAAATTGGTATTGTATATTAAGTCCTGAATAAGGATGCATTTCTACAACTGCCACCATTTTCATTTATTTCCCCCTCTAGAACAATAATAACAATTGTTGAAATATATGAAATGCATTTCATTTCATGAATAATACATTTTTATATGTTAACCTCATGGAAACAAGAACAGTTCAATAGTAACAGCAACATTAATGCTGTCTTCTTAAGAAAAGGTAGATGTGACCATGTCTGTACTACATAACCTTGATAATGTTGTTTTCTGTAGAATCTGTGATGGAAATATATGTTGCAGAAGATACTAACCAAATACTAAAACAATAAAGAGGCATCTTTAAAATTGAAGGAAAGAAGAAAATATGCCGTGTCATCTATATTTTCCATTACAGATCAAATGAAAATGAGGCAAGTTCCATTCTCTTAAAACTAGGAGTACATTCTAAGTGGAATGAATGTCTGGGGAGTAATATATAAAGCACAAAGATGGTTTTTTAATACTCCTAATGAGTTGCCCCTTGGTTGTATTGCAGATAAAAACAGGATTCCAATATATATACACACTTCTACTCTGCAAAAACCTGGTTTATAAATGCTTGGCATTAGCACACAAAGGAAAAGTATTTAGGCTGTCAGAATATTAGTGGCTTGGCCTCTAAAAAAGCAGGTGACTGGGAGAAATAGTGCTGCTCTTAGACCCAGGCAAAAAGTCCCCAGGCAAGGAATGATCCATTCACATCCTGCTCTCCTCCCTTGTGTTTTTGGAGCAACTTCCTCAACCTTTCGTGAGTCCTCCCCTGGAGGTTGGAATGAGCCAGAGCTGCAGTACTATCCCATCATGGTGTCCTGGGCCAGACTAGGACCTGTGGGGACCCTGGCTCCCATTGTTGCCCTACAAGATGCTCTTGTTCTTTCTCTTTCTTTTTAATTTTATTTATTAGAAAGGATGAGAGAGACAGAAAGGTCTTCCATCTGTTGGTTCACTCCCCTAATTCCTGTAACAACCAGGGCTAAGTCAGGCGAAAGTCAGGAAGCAAGTCTAATCCAGGCCTCTGATGTGGGTAGCATGGACCCAAGTAAACTAGGTCATCCCCTGGTCCCTCCCAGGCTGCATATCAGCAGGAAGCTGGAACTGGAAGCAGAGCCAGGATTCAAGCCTAGGTACTCTGAAATGGGATGTGTGCATTATAATTGCCAAGCCAAAAATACAACCCTAAGGTGTTCTCTGATACTCCCCATCCCCCACATCTGAGGTCAGATTCTCTGAGGAGCTCCAGTTCACACGTCTGTGGAGTATTACTAGGGCCCTGTTGCCAGTAGCCAATTTCTGAAGGGCAGCTTGTGAGCAAATATTTCTTGTTGAAGTCTCAATATCTTTTTGGCTGGATTATATGAGATGAACCATCAGAATGGTGCTAATTTGAGGAGACTTGAAATTGTTTATAGAAACATCAATTCTTCAAAAATACATTGGCTAATCCTTCTCCCCAACAGCTGGCCTCTCAATCCTCCTAAAGTAAGGGTGTCTCTGTAGATAATTAAGTATAAACAATAAGGATTAAAATCTAGCCAGGTTAAAATAAGACAAAGTTTTCCTTCCTTCAAAGTTGATGATATATCATTTACATAACAGTCAAGAAGCAAATTAGTTTTATTAGTAGAATGTCTAGGGAAATGAGATAGCTCATTAAAAAACAAAATGAAAACCAGGACATTTTGATAGGTACTTCCTCATGAAAACATTTATTGTGACAGAGGGGACCAAATCTTTCTGTAGAAGACTTCTTTGCTTAAATCTTGTTTGAGACCTCTAAATCTCTTGAACTTTGAGACCTATCAGACTCTTCAGCACTGCTTCACATCCACTCACTCTGGTTTCCTGTTGCAGTTGTGGCTATTGTGAACACGTGCACAACACTTTGGCCATCTGATGCTCACAACCTGCCCTAATTTCTCATGCTGTGGTCTGAGATGCCCATGACCCTGGGTCTGGGAGGAGAATTACCTCCTAATGGACAACTCTACACCTCCAAAAGGAGATCCCAAGAAGATCCTAGAGGGCCAGCGCTGTGGCACAGTGGGCTAAAACCCTGGCCTGAAGCACCAGCATCCCATATGGGTGCCGATTCTAGTCCCGAATGCTCCTCTTCTGATCCAGCTCTCTGCCATGGACTGGGATAGCAGTAGAAAATGGCCCAAGTCCTTGGGCCATGACCTGGAAGAAGCTCCTGTTCCTGGCTTCAGATTGGCGCAGCTCCACGCAGCTCCAACCGTTGCAGCCATGTGGGGAGTGAATCAGTGAATGAAAGACCTCTTTCTCTGTCTCTACCTCTCTCTGTAACTCTGTCTTCCAAATAAATAAATAAATCTTAAAAAAAAATAATAAAAGAAGAAGATTCTAGAACCAAATGTTAAATGCTTTTTCCTGGGGTCCTTTGGGTGGGCTATTCTATTCAGACACTCAAGTACTGCCAGCATGTTAAAGTTCCAGCAGTCCACAGTGGTGAGCAACACAGTAATGCACCCTTGATTTGCCTTTCCTTCCTGCTTTTATTCTCTTTGGTCCTTCACACTTGTTTCCAAAATAAACTACCTGCCCAGAAGCCTGAGTCTCAACCTCTGTTTCCCAGAGGAAATCAGACTATCCTACAGGCTCCTACCACATGTCACTGTAAACATTCTCCTTTCACATGGTTTCCCTGCCATGAATCACTTAAAATGTCTCAGCGCTTCATAAAGAGCCCTCCACATGTTCATGTGTTTATATATTGTATCATACAGTTACAAAGGCACCCGTGATTAACCTATCACTTCCTGCTAGAGACTACTGATGAAAAAAACAGGTCCTGTATCATATTCCCATCACACTTCCAAGATGTTGTTCCAAATTCACTGGATGGTTCATAGTGTTGGACCACTGGTAACCTGCAGAAAGTTGCCAGATAAATGGTTCTCTTAACTGTAGAACTCACTTAATGTGGTCGCATGAATGAAGCAAGAAAATGTTTTCTCTAACATGAATATTATGAATAGGTTTTTATGTTCTATGCAATGTTGAAACAGCTTTATAAAAATACAGACATTTTGGCCGGCGCCGCGGTTCACTGGCTAATCCTCTGCCTGCGGCGTCGGCACCCCAGGTTCTAGTCCCGGTTGGGGCACCGGTTCTGTCCCGGTTGCTCCTCTTCCAGTCCAGCTCTCTGCTGTGGCCAGGGAGTGCAGTGGAGGATGGCCCAAGTGCTTGGGCCCTGCACCCACATGGGAGACCAGGAGGAGGCACCTGGCTCCTGGCTTTGGATCGGCGCAGCACGCTGGCCATGGCGGCCATTTGGGGGGGTGAATCAACAGAAGGAAGACCTTTCTCACTGTCTTTCTCTCTCTCACTGTCTAACTCTGCCTGTCAATATATATATATATATATATATATACAGACATTTATTTATTGCCCATCTACCTATGAAATGTCATTGAAAATGATATAAAATCACTACTTTCTGTGTTTCTATAAAATAAAATGGTTGTCAACATATTCAGAAAATTCATCATTCCTTGGAATGTTTTAGAGAAAACATTCACAATTATGGCAGAGTATAATTTAGATGACTTAAGCCAGTCTCAAAAAATATTCAAGCCTTTTTAAGACTTACGAATATCTAAGAGGTATAGAAAAATAGAGATGTATTTCTTTCAAATGAAGCAGCAAGTCAGAAGTTAGACACATTCACACATACAGACTCACAGCATTTGCAAGTGGCTATTTTCCATAATTCCAAAGGGAGAATGGGATGATTAAAGAGTTTCTCTTGGACAGGCTTCATTGCTCTTTAAAAAGGAGAAAACTCTAGCTAACATCTGGTTGCAATACATTATTGAAATATATTCCAGACATTGCCTCTTTTGGTCAAACAGCTGGAATCCTATTCTTTTTAAAAAAATAATTTTGATGTGTCTAATCTTCAACTTTCTCTGGTGTGGAAAAAAGAAAGATGACTAGAAAAGTAATGTATCTTCTTTATAAGTCTCTATTTTGTTCCCAGTGTGCCATGTAATGTTCTATGTATGTTATTGCTTTTATAAATTTTTTTTCTTTTTGTGAATTTTTTAAAAAAATTATTTAAGATATATATACAAATTTCATGCATTTCACACATACAGATTTAGGAACATAGTGACACTTCCTACCCTACCCTTCCTCCTGCCCACACTCCTACCCTTCTTCCTCCTCTCTCTCCTATTCCCATGCTTAATTTTTACAAAGATTTACTTTCAGTTTACTTTATACTTCTAAGGTTAACCCACACCAAGTAAAGAGTTCAGTAAATAGTATGAAGAAAAAAACACTGTTCCTCAACAGTAGAGATGAGGACTATAAATGATTGTTGAATCTCAAAATGTCAATTTCATTCCAATACATTATATTTTGGGTACTCTATTAGTTATCACAGGTAAAGGAAAACATATGGTATTTGTCTTTTGGGGATTGGCTTATTTTATTAAGTATAATGGTTTCCAGTTGCATCCATTTTGTTGCAAAAGACAGGATTTCACTTTTTTTTTTTTGCCACTGAGTAGTATTCCATAGTGTATGTACATACCATAATTTCTATATCCAGTTCTATGTCTGTTATTCCTAATAGGGTATGGAAAATGCACAACTGATAAGCTTTCTATAACAAGATGACATTGCATTCATTCATATATTCTCATTTTTATTTGAATGATATTCCTAAGCATTTTTGTCTTTGTTTTTGATATCGTGATTCAACTGACATAAAAAATTTTTGGAAAGGTGGATGAGTTTCTATTAGCTTCAAATCTAAGTTGATACAAAAATTCAGTGTAAGTTTAGCTTTCCAAATCTTGTACCAGAGAATGCAACTTGTTAAACATTATTTATTGGAGCCAAATTTCTACAAAATCATAGTGGTTTTCTATTACATTTCTTATAAAAAATTTATTTGAGAGGCATGGAGACAGAGAAACAGATAGAGAAATAGCTCTCCTCTGTTGGTTGACTCTCCAAATGATTGTAATGGCCAGGGATGGATCAAGTCAAAGATGGGGACTCAACGCAAGTCTCCCATGTGTGTAAGAATATCCCAACCACTTGAGCTATTGTGACTGCCTCCCAAGGTCCACATTAGCAGAAAGCTGGAGCAGGAGCTAGAGCCAGATACCACATCCAGGTGATCTGATATGGGATGAGGGTGTCTTAATGGCTGGGCCAAATGCTAGCCTCTTGGTTTGCATGTTTAAGTGGCTATAAATTAGTAACATGTAGTAATTCTTCCTAACCTTTTCAATTTTTCACCCAGTGACATTTCCCTTAAGAATTCCAGAATATTAATTTTCTTATATCAAACCTTTTAAAATTGTTAAATATGTAAAAGGCAGAAGTAGAGATAGAAATATATATTGATCTCATCTGCTGGTTTAATTCCCAAATGCCTATAACAGCCTGAATTGGGCTGGAGTCAAAGCAAGGAGCCAAGAAAGCAATCCAGGTTTCCCATGTGAGAAGCAGGGAACCCAATTACTTGAACCATCACTGCTGCCTCCCAGACCTTGCATTAGCAGGAAGCTAGAGTCAGAAGCCAGAGCTGGGAATAGAACCCAAGTATTCTGTGGGACATGGCATCTTAGCTGCTAAGCTGAAAGCCTGTTTCTGTACCTTTATACATAAAGAGGTATTATTTATTGACTATCACTAAGTCGATGACCAGGGTTAGACATAGGAATGCTGGGGTTTTTTAATTCTTTTTTTTAAAAATGATTTATTTATTGATTTGAAAGGCATGGTTACAGAGAGGCAGAGGAGGGGGACAGAGAGAAAGAGAGAGAGAGAGAGAGAGAGAGAGAGAGAGAACGCTTCCATCCATTGGTTCACTCCCCAAATGGCAACAATAGCCGAAGCTGATCCAAAGCCAGGAGCCAGGTGCTTCTTCCGGATCTCCCATGCAAGTGCAGAGCCCCAAGCACTTGGACCATCTTCTATTGCTTTCCCAGGCCGTAGAAGAGAGCTGGATTGGAAGTGGAACAGCTGGGTCTCAAACCGGTGCCCATATGGGATGCCGGCACTGCAGGCAGTGGCTTTACCTGCTGTGCCACAGTGCAGCCCCAATGCTGGTTTTAGTTTTTTCTTTTTCTTTTTTCCCTAGTAAGGGAAGATGGTGTATAGAAAAAGTTAAGAATCAGAAAAAAATAAGTTCAAACTACACTATGACAATGCCTGTTCTCTAGGATATGTTTTTTCTGTGGTATGTTATTTTTATAGCAGGGCTTCTCAGTTTTGATGCTACTGACTTTTTTTTTTTTTTTAACAGGCAGAGTTAGACAGTGAGAGAGAGAGACAGAGAGAAAGGTCTTCCTTCCATTGGTTCACTCCCCAAATGGCCGCTACGGCCGGCGCACCGTGCCAATCCAAAGCCAGAAGCCAGGTGCTTCCTCCTGGTCTCCCATGCGGGTGCAGGGCCCAAGCACTTGGGCCATCCTCCACTGCCTTCCCAGGCCACAGCAGAGAGCTGGCCTGGAAGAGGAGCAACCGGGACAGAATCTGGTGCCCCAACCGGGCCTAGAACCTGGAGTACCAGCGCCGCAGGCGGAGGATTAGCCTAGTAAGCCATGGTGCCGGCCTATGCTATTGACATTTTTAGGCTAGATAATTCTTTGCTACAGGATTTTCTTGTGTATTATATGATGTTTAGCTGCATCCTGACATGTAGACCCCTCAGATAGGGTAACAACAAAAATGTTTGCAGTCTTCGCTAAATCTCTCTAGGGGTGCAAAATTACCCCTCCTCCCTGTTGAAAATCATGGCTGTAGAGTGAAGTTTCCACAGCTATAAGGATGTGATGAGATGTGGCATACACACTAGTGGTCCTAGCATATGCCCAATTTAGCAGATTAATACATAATTGGAAAATGGGAGGGCATGTCCCCTTGAAGTAAGTTAAAAATTAAAAATTTTTTAATTTTTAAAAACTGTTGGGGCCGGTGCTGTGGCGTGAGTTAAAGCCTTGGCCTGAAGTGCTGGAATCCCATATGGGTGCCGGTTCGAGTCCCGGCTGCTCCACTTCCGATCCAGCTCCCTGCTAATGTACCTGGGAAAGCAGCAGAAGATGGCCCAAGTCCTTGGGGCCCTGCACCCATGTGGGAGACCTGGAAGAAGCTCTTGGCTTCTGAATGGATTGGCTTAGTTCTGATTGTTGCAGCCAATTGGGGAGTGAACCAGTGGATAGAAGACCACTCTCTCTGTGTGTCTCTACCTCTCTCTGTAACTCTGTCTTTTGAATAAATAAAATAAATCTTTTTTAAAAACAGAAAAATAATACTTGCACCATTCACTGTTAATCTATTTAAAATGAATGCAATAAATTTTCAAAAGTTATTTACTTATGTATTTATTAGAGAGAGATCTCCCATCCTTACATTCACTTCCCAAATGCCTGCAACAGCTGGGACGGGCCCAGGCCAAAGCCAGGAACCAAAAGCTCAGTCTGGGTCTTCCACATGGGTGGCAAGGACCCAACGACTTGAGCCATTACCAGCTGCCACTGAGGGTATGAATTAGCAGGAAGCTGAAATTTGGAGCAGAACTGGAACTTGAACCCAGGCACTTTAATATGGAATGCAGGCATCCCACCTGGCATCTTAACTGCTATACCAGAAGTCAGTCCCTAAAATTTTCTTGACTATGTAATCTTACTGATAAAAATGTGATCTGGTAACATCAGTTGGGAGCTTCATTCCTGCATTTAAATTTGGATATTTTATTTATAATGGGTATTTATTTATTTTTTTAAAAGCCAGAGTTACAAAGAGAGAGGGAGAGACAGAAATCTTCTATCCACTGGTTCACTCCCCAAATGGCTACAAAGGCCAGGGCTGGGCCCAGCCAAAGCCAGGAGCCAGGAGCTTCATCCAGGTCCCCCACATAGGTGCAGGGACCCAAGGATTTGGCCCATATTCCACTGCTATCCCAGGTGCATTAGCAGGGAGCTGGATCAGAAGTGGAGCAGCCAGGACTCGAACTGGCACCCACATGGGTTAAGCATGGCAGGTGGCAGATTAACCTATTGTGCCACAAGCACCAGCATACTTTACAGATATTTTTGTTATTAATTTACTTTTTCAAAATATCACATGAAAATATTTATTTTGATTGCTGGATTTTTTTTGTCACCCTTTTACAGTTTGTGTCTAGTCCTGGTTCTGAATCTCAGGTACTAGGGTAGCATTTCTACATAAGAATTTGCATTTTAGCAAGATCCCCAGGTGATTGAAATAAGCATTTACGTTCAAGACGTACTGGTGTAGTTGACCTCCAGAAGCGGTAGTCCGGGTAGCGGGTATAAAGAGCCAGGGACTGGAGAGGATAGTTGGGGCACATTTCATATCTTCCTCATGACCTTTGCAAAACAGTGGAGGCAGGAAAAGCTGAGGGAGCTGCTTTCATAAGGGGTTAGTTGGGACATCTGCCTAATAATAATGTGTGGCACAAATAGGAGCGAAGGATATTCCTCACTGTCTGTGACAAACACAGTGAAATGTGTCTGAAAAGTCATCAGTGAATGCGACAGTCTTCTGAAATGACCTTGGAAACCTCGGACATGACGCTTTCCCTTGGAACGTGCTGGTGCCCCCCTGGGTATCTTGGCAGTGGCTGGAGGGGGGATAGGAAGGGACTCACCTTGTGTGTGTCTTCAATGCATAGTAATTGCATAAAGACATGAATACTGGGTTTGGACCCCTGATTTGGGCACCATTAACCCTCTCTCTACATGAATAAATTATAGTAATAATTGTTGTGTAGTATAGCCCTGGATCAGTGGTTCTTAACTCTGTAGCACCCTGTAGAATACAGTTATTTTAAAGACCAGGCACATTTTGTTTTTACCAAAATTGCACTGATAATTGATACGTCTCACATGTGTATACTATCCTGTTCAAGAGCATGGACAATGCTAATATGCCTAGGAAAATACAAATTCATTTAATATTATGTTAGTTAGCTTTAGGTGAGTTTGCATGTTCTCCTTGAAGGTATATCAAAAGCACAGTTAATTCAACATAACAGTCTGTATGTGTATGAATGTGTGTGTACATACACATGATCAAAGTTTATTAAATGTGTGTGTATTGTATGTATATATTTTAAAGGGTCTAATAAGCTTACAAAATTGAAAACCCTAAGTTGTAAGCTATACTTTTATAGTCACATTTAACAGATAAAGCTACCCTAAGAAATTAAATTTTTACCCTGATGATTAAAACATATACAGTTCTACAGTAAGTATTAGAATTCTGTACTCCAGATATTCTTGTCCTTGGGCTCAATTCTCTCTGCCACTTTAGCTTAGCAGAAAAAAGTAAACTATAAGAAAGCAAACTATTTTAACTATAAAAGGTGACCTAAAGAAAAATCATTTCAAGACCAAGTTGGTTGCAGCAAAATTCATTAGCCTCCTCCAGGATGAAAGCTGGTGTCTGGGTGACATTCCAAGGTTACTAATACTTGTCAGTCCAACAACTTGCAGACTGTACATGATGGGGAATCTTTGGGGTTTGGCATCAAAGGAGAAAGGATGTAAAAATGGCCCTGATGGATGTTCTGAGGTTGTTTGATCTAAATCCAGAGAAAATAGCAGCTATCACAGCTGATGGAGTACCCGCTATGACTGGGAAGATGAATAGGACAGAGGGGAAAAAAATTAAAGTCAGAAAAGCTTGTGCCAGACATTTTATCATATCTTTTTATTTTATTTTTTTACAAACCAAGCTTGACAACTTGGAAATCCCTTTGTGCAGTTTATAAAATAATGAATTCTAAATGAAGGCCTGGATTCACCAACAGACCAAGCAATTATGTAAACAATTTCTGTTCCCCAATATGGCTCCTTGTCATTGCATTTTCAAGTCAAATCACTTCCATGAGGTGGAACAGTAGTGAATATGATGCATATCTTTGAAGCGCTAGCTATCAGACGAGGGGAGAAGCCAGTTTCCCGACATGCCCATGACAAGAGAGGTACCCTGTGTTATATTTCCACCTCTGATTTACACGCAGAGAAGAGTCAACTGAAAGACAAAAGTGCTACAGAATAATTGGTATTCTTGTATCATTTCTCCTGTGTTCAGTGGTGTTTATTCTCTGATTTCATTACCACAGCTATTTTTTTACTTTCAAGAGCCTTTAAACCTGTCTCTCTCTCTCTCTCTCTCTCTCTCTCACACACACACACACACACACACACACCGGGCACACAATTCTTTAAAGCTACAATTAGTCGTGTCGTCTCTTCTATGTGTGCATTTTGAAAGCATTTTCTCGTGTTAGTGCCGGTCCTTTCATTAGTTTGCAAGCTCCTGGAGACCAAGTACCATGTGCATCATGGCCTTTGTGTTCTCCCCACACAGTGAGTGTTCAATAAATACTATTGACTGACTGACACATCTCCCTCTTTTTCTCTTTGTCTCTGACACCTCTGCTTTCTTTCAGAAATGGTTATTTTTTTAAAGTGGCAATATTCTGCACTCTGAGCTTATAAAAAGCTCTTCTTGGTCTGTAACTTTTTCTTTATGTAAGATTTTCAACAACAGACAAAATACAGGTGAAGGAAACTGATATTCCACTACCCCTGAACAATGATTTCTGTTTTTAATTGGAGTGTGACAAGTGTCTTGCAGAATGGAGGCTTTGTTCCCAAGAACAATGCCAGCATGAACATCTCTGTTGAAGTGGCCATTAAAAAATAATCATCCCTCCTGCCTGTCCTACCCACTCCAACCACTCTTGAATTCAGGGCAGGGTATTCACGGGCAGCCAGTCCTTGCGTTATTTTCCTTCTGTTTCACAATGGGTCAGAGGCACAGTCTATATTCAGTGTCTCTGTTGTTCTCTTACAGAACTTAAATAACGGTTTGTTCTTCTTTTGAAACAGGAGCCCAAACTACAATTATTTTTTTAACCTTACCTTAGGAACAGTCTTGGTAGTTCAGCAATATTGAGAAATATGGACTTTTCAGGAGATATTAAAGTGTCCCCTCCATCAATCTGAGCATTGTTTGATCTCAGAGAGGTGAGGCAATGCGCCTTTACCTCGGCTTGCTTTCTCTATTACCGCCATTATGGATGGTACGGTTGTGGCAGATGATTGTTACGGAGAGATTGCTCTCGTGTCACAGCCTTCCCTTTGTGCCAGCTCCTGGAAAAAGTGCAGGTGAGAACATTTCAATCCAATGTGGCACCTGCTCTTCACAGGCCGTCTCTGCACTCACAGCAATTACAGCAGAAAGCAGCATTCTCTTTGTGCTGCTTCCATGTCCTGTTTCTTTTCTTCTAATATTCCCAGGCTAAAGTCTCTTGGAACCAAAGAATATGCAGCAAAAGGAGAGGCTGCAAATGAAAGTCATGAAGGTTAGCATAAGATGTGGATGTTTCTCATTCATTTATCCTTTGTTCACCTGTCAACAGCTGTCTGTCTTGTTGCTGCAGTGGACACAGTATCTCTAACACTCAACCACTGTATTAACCACTATAACCACTGCAGTTCCCTAACCAATCTCAGGCCCCAGTGATATCACCAGGAAAAAAATGAAGCAGGCCCCAAGACAAGCATCTAGTACAAATAGTTTAAGAGTTGATTCTCGGGAACTGGAGAGACGGTGCCAGCTGGCATCAGGTGTCTGCTGTTTTCTGTAGTATCGGTGGACATGGGGAACACGTGTCCTCAGAGGTAGGGCTTTGTTTTCCACATTCTATGGGGTCCATTTCTTTGTGCTTGGAGACAGAAAAATGTGAGGGCAGACACAGCGCAAAGACAGACAGTAGGGGGAAGAGGTACTGTGACCCTTACCTGATGCACAGGTCTCTTCCCAGGTTGCAGCCCAGGCTGTAGATTCTTCACTGGGAACCAGTCAGTCACAACCAGAGTCGTGGGAGAATCTCAACTGCTGCCTCTCCCAGTCCCTGCCTCGCTTGGGAACCAGAGAGAGGAAACTGATTAACTGCAGCTGAACAGCTCTTCATTTGCTCCCTAAATATGTCCCTGGACTGATGTAGGGCCAGGAAGGTAATAGTTAACAGGCAGTAGCCATTGAGTGCACACCAGGCCCTGATCTGTGAGGTAGCTTCATTTTACAGCAGAAAGGGGAAGCACAGAGAGATGAAGTAACTTGCCCAAGGCCACCCAGCTGGTAGGGAGGGGAGCTGGGGCTTGAACTCTAGCAGCCAGGCCCCAGGGCTCACTCTCAGGACCACTGTCACAGGGAAGAAATATTTACTGACCTCTATGCTCGGCTTCATTTCCTGTCACTTTCTGAACATAAAGAATAGTGGTGCAGTGTCTTGGGTACTGCACAGTTGGATTTAGGCATCATGCTGGGGGCTACCTTTATTGCATTAGCTGTATTATCAGTTTCTATATCCAAAAATACGATTTACCAGAGGATGCTGGCCCAGAATAGTATTCTTAGAATAAGGCAGAGGGCTCTGTGCTGGGATTATAAACTCTTCATTGATTCATCTCCTACCTCTCCTAGAACTTTATATATCCTGGTTCCCACTTTGCCATACCTATTTTCCCCTGTCCAAATGACCCAAGTAAGGAAGTTGAAATGACTCCCCTTTCGAAGGCAATGACTACAATACATACGGGACATCCAGGCAGCATAATCCTCTGATATTTTTGTGTGGAAAATATGTTGGTGGGATCATTAGTCAGGTAATTTTTTTTTCATCCCAGGAGGACAGGAAGTTATTTTGACAGCTTATTTCACTGCTACATATAAAGTTTACCTTGTCAATTAATGGGAATACACCAGGTAATTGTCATGAGCTCTCAGGGAATAATCTTGAAGCCATTTCCAAATGTCCTTTATGGAAGCATATGGTCATATCCTCCACTTCATCGCCAGGTCAATCAGCAGTTGTTCTTTAATATGGTATGTTCTTCACGCACCAGTGCAATTTCCGAGCTCCATCACATTTGTTTCTCCCCCATGGCTCTTGAACGTTGCTTAAGCCGCTGATTATTGCCTTGCCATGAGCTCTGATCGCTCTTCTGGAGAGCAGACTTTCAGATGTCATCTTTAATTTGCGATATTAATATTGAACTCCATCACCGTTCAGTGATTTTAGTGAAGTATTTACATATAGACTAGCAAAGTGTTTGAGCAGTGCATTGAAAACTGTCCGTTCCTAATTGGAACCGTAAAGTTTACCACAGCATCTGCGTGACATGGCTATGATTTCTGGTTATAAAGCAGCCTTGGAGGGTTTGCTTTCAAAACCAAATGAGATGTGGTTTTCACAGCTCTGTCTTTCCTCACCTGTCCAGACCATTAATGATTGGTGGTGACGGTGCTCAGAGAACTGTTTTTTACAATCTAACACACTCTTAAGGAAGATTAACTATCTCAAAGAGTTTTTACTGTGAATCACATTTAAAATTAATGAACTAATTAGTTAAGAAATGTATTACTTTATTATGGAAAGAGAAAGCTTGCACCATAATGATAGCATGAAATGCATGAAGTGTCCTTTTATTTTATGACATTAGAGGAAGGTGGACTTGGGAAGGAACATTTGGACTGCTACTATTAATTATCTGATTTAAAGATCACCTCGCCCTGTGAGAAAGATAGATTATCAATCAGTATTCGAGAGCTTTGAAAGGATGAAAGAGAGAAAAAGAGGAAAGAAAAAAGAACATCTTCCTAGTTGTATTGTTAGATGACCTTGTGCCCTGCTATGTTTAAATTGCTTACTTCCTATAACTCTATAAACTTCTGTGTTTTCATTTGCCGGATTAGATTGAAGTGTCAACTATATTTGATGAATAGCATTGGTAATATATGTTCATGTTCGTCTTTGCTCTTTCTGTTTTTATTTATATAGAGTCAGTATAATTTATTTCTCCTGAAAAAGCTTTCAGCAAAAAATATTTTTTAAAGTACAAATACTTTTTAACAGGGCTTTGGGGTTTGTGATGATCAAATCACTCATCTTTCCTTTTTCTTTCTTGCCTTTTTTTTCCCTTGCTTACTTTTCTTTTAAAACTAGCAAAGGAAAAAGAGCATAGAAAAAGTCGGCAGTTGCACATAAGCAGAATTAAAAAGTAGCATTGCAGACAAGCCTCTATCTCAGTCTATGCATATATTAGGGGATTGATATGAAGAACCATGTAATTATTTGGATAATTTAAAAATACCAGTCGTCAGCCTTCCCTGTTTTCTTGTAGGGCACACCATGCATGAGATTGCAGATTTATTGGAGTTCTAGCTATCCAGGAGGAATTTGTTTTTTCTTTAGGAGGTGTTTGGGAAGGAAGACCTGGTAATCCTGAGTTTAAAATGCACTATGCTGTTCAGTGTGTAACCAATTACTCACCCTGGTTTTTTGCTTAGATCAAAATATCATGCTTAGGCTAATAGGCATGCCTGCCCATTTGAAAGCTTTCTGAAGGGTAATAGGGAGGAAGGGACAAAGGTAGAGAATGTAGGGAATGGAGAGACCGAAACCGTGAAGCCAGTCTTCTCAGAATCTGAAAATCCCCCAGCATAACAGTGGCTGTAAAATGGGAGGCAGGGAAAACTGAAGAAAATATAACACACACAGGGTTGAATTTGACAAAGTGTCTTGATTGCTCTGTCTTCCTTTTCTTTCTTCATTTTTTTTTCAGTTAAATATTCTATCCTTGGGGCCAGCATTGTGGTGCAGCAAGTTAAGCCACCACTGCAATGCCAGAATCCACTATCAGCTCCCTGCTATTGCTCCTGAGGGGAAACAGTGGATGACGGCCTAAGTGCTTGGGCCCCTGCCACTCACATGGGAGACCCGGAAGAAGCTCCTGGCTTTGGCCTGGCCCCGCCCAGGCCATGGTGGTCATTTCTGGAGTAAACCACTAGATGGAAGATCTCTCTCTCTCTGTCTCTTCTCTCTATATAACTCTGCCTTTCAAAATAACTAAATGAATCTTAAAAAAAAAAAAAAAAACAACTATCCTTATCTTGAGCTACATCTTTTCCTCATTTCCGTTTTGTTCTTTTTTATTATCTAAGAATGTGTCCTCTAAATTGAAATCTAAAATCAAATCCCATTGTTTTGGGGAACAAATAATAGATGTGATAAAGTTCCCGAGTAGAACCAGTACAGTCATAGAAGTAAATAATAGGGGCTGGTGCTGTGGTGCAGCTGGTTAAAGCCCCAGTCTGAAGCGCGGGTATCCCATATGGGCTTCAGTTGGAGTCCTGGCTGCTCCTCCTCCGATCCAGCTCTCTGCTATGGCCTGGGAAAGCAGAAGAAGATGGCCCAACTCCTTGGGCCCCTGCACCCACGTGGGAGACCCAGAAGTTCCCAGCTCCTGGCCTCAGATTGGCACAGCTCTGGCTGTTGCAGCCAATTGGATAGTGAACCTGTGGATGGAAAAGCTCTCTCTCTCTCTCTCTCTCTCTCTCTCTCTGCTTCTCCTTCTCTCTGTGTATAACTTTGATTTTCAAATAAGCAAATAAATCTTAAAAAAAAAAGAAGTAAATAATGGCCTGCACATAACTGTACTTTGGGGTCACATATCAATACATTTGCCTCTGGTCCACAGTGATAATGATAACCACCACCCACCATCAAAAGACAAAGTTACAACAAATTTACTTATAAATTGAATTGATTTTTATTTGCCATCCATGAATGGAGGAGGTCACCACCTTAGAAAATAGAATAAGAGCTTCCATTGCACAATAGTAGAAAATGGGGTTTCATTTGGTTGATACAAGGAAACAGAACAAAGCAAAAAAAAAAAACCAAAAACCAAAAAACAAAAAAAAACCAACCCTGATTGTTAACATCAGGCTACTTTTTAGGTAAAGGTTAACACAGAGGAAACTTCCTTATTACACTGGTTCAGGTAGACTGGACTCACCTATTGTGAAGAAAAACTGGTGTGTCTGGAAATCTGTTTCCTTGGAGTTTCAGTTTGATTATTTGACATTTAGCATGAGTTACTCCATTCTGGTTTGATCTGGTCTGTTGGGGACTTGTGCAAGGAGGAGCTCAGTCCAAGACAACAGGCTTCCGTAATTTTCGGTTAACACCTGGGTTTAGATCCTGACTTCTATGATACATGTGAAATCAAAAGGGATGATGTGCACACTTTTGGAGGATTTTGTACACATTTGTTCTGACAGCAGAGAGTCAAAGAAGCTGAGCTATAAAAAAAAATAGAAGAGAACATAAGAGTAGCAAATTACAGTCCTGCATGACTGAGCACCAGATATAAGCTCATGAATTTTAAAAAATTAGAAATGAGTCAAATTTTATTTCTCATATATATGAGGATAAAGTGAAGAATGTGTTTATGTTTTTTTAAATGCAAAGGTTTCCAAATTGTGTGATTAACATGCATAATGAGTTGGATCAAATTCTACCTTTGCTTATTCTTGTACCACACTTTGCAGTCAGTTGTTATAATTCCTGTTCATTTCAGAAAAGAATATATTAACATTTGGGCTAACATAAAAATAAAGTTAATTTTAAACAACTAGGCAATCACCTGAAGGGCTTTAAAATATAAATATATAAAATGTTTATGGCCTTAGCTCTAGAATGTATATTACTAGTTATATGACCCTTAGCTATCTCATAGACATATCAAGTTGAACACAATCGACCCTGAATTCTTCATATTTTGCCTCCCTACATGCCACCCCTACTTCTGCAGGTTTCCCCAATTTATGATTTCAGTTTTTTATTGTTCCAGTTGTTCAGTCTAAAAACCTCAGAGCTGTCCTCAATCCTTCTGTTTCTCTCACATGCCGTGACTAATCTTTCAGCAAGCCCCTTCGTTCTATGCTCAACATACGCCTTACATGTGACCACCTCTCACCATCTCTATCATTGCCACTTTCTCTCCTCTGTAGTACCATAAGAATTTTCTAATGGTTGTTCCTACTTCCATCATCGTGGCTACAGAGTCCATTTTTAACAGAACAGCCAGAGTGAGTCTTTAAAAATGAAAGTAGTAGAGTTCTCTTCTGCTCAAAATCATCCAATGGCTTCCTGGTCCCTCAGAGGAAAAGCCAAAGCTTTATAAGGCCATGTCTGATGTGGATCCCATTGCTACTTTGAGTTCTGTCATTCTCCCCTTTGCTCATTCCATTTCTGTCACCATGTTTTTGCTTTTTCCCTTTCCTATAACCTCTGTCTTCCATTATCTTCATGGTTTTCCCCATTTTTTTTTTCAGTCTTTGTCAAAGATCAACTTACCAATGAAAACTTTCTTAATCACCTTATTTAAAATTGCACACTGTATGCCCCCTGCATATCCTGTCTTTTTCTTCACAGTATGTATCACTGTATTACTACCATATATATGCATACATACACACAACACAAAGTCCACATACATACATAAAATATTAGATTTATGTTAGCAAAACAGATGCTCTTCAACTTATGATGCAGTTATGACCCACTAAACCCATCATAAGTTGAAAATATCTTGAATCAGAAATGTATTTAATATGCCTAACCTACTGACTGTTATAGCTTAGCCTAGCCTACATTAAACATGTTCACAACACTTAATTATATTAACCTATAGTTGGGCAAAATCATCCAACACAAAGACTATTTTATAATAAAGTATTACAAAATCAGATGTAATTTATTGAATACTAAAATGAAAGCAAAAAAGTGATTTTTTTTTTTTTGACAGGCAGAGTGGACAGTGAGAGAGAGAGACAGAGAGAAAGGTCTTCCTTTGCCGTTGGTTCACCCTCCAATGGCCGCCGCGGCCGGCGCACTGCGCTGATCCGATGGCAGGAGCCAGGAGCCAGGTGCTTTTCCTGGTCTCCCATGGGGTGCAGGGCCCAAGCACCTGGGCCATCCTCCACTGCACTCCCGGGCCACAGCAGAGCGCTGGACGGGAAGAGGAGCAACCGGGACAGAATCCGGCGCCCCAACCGGGACTAGAACCCGGTGTGCCGGCGCCACTAGGCAGAGGATTAGCCTAGTGAGCCGCGGCGCCGGCCAAAAAAGTGATTTTATAAGTACATTTTTGCATTTTTGTTAAGTGAAAAATTGTAAGTTGAACCATGGAAGTTGGGAAAAGTCTGCACTATGATATATAGTAATACTACCTGTATGTATGTACTCACACTATCAACATTCTATGTATACATTCAATGCTTTTGTGTTTATATGTATAATACAAATACAAAATGAGGGGACTTCAAAAAGTTCATGGAAATGGAATTCAAAGATAAATTCATTTTGATGCAAAAAATTTGAAATCCACCCATAGTTTTTATTTATGAAATATATTTTCAAAGACTTTTTAAGACCACTGATATGCATGGATTTCAAGATTTTTTGCACTAATCTTTTAATTACATTTTCCATAAAGTTTTTGAAGTAGCCTTATATATGGATGAATACACATTGATAACTTACTAGTGTCTTTCTCTACCAGAAGTCAGTCTTGTGATGATGAAATTTCTGGATGTCCTTTTCACTGCTGTTTCCTTGGAACATAACCTGGCACATAATAGAAGCTCAATAAATTACTGGTAAATGAATGGCTAAGTAACCAATGACATGAGCCATCTTATTTATTTATTAGAGTACAACTGAAGTGAGACCACATCAAGTCTCTTTTTATTAGGTGAAACACTATGAAAGTACCAGTATTCCACTTTTGATTTATGCAAATGTCTTTTTCATATGGTTCAGCACATGTGTATGTTTTCCTCCTGTTTCTTTATCTTCTGCTTCCTCTGTCTTCTCATATCTCACGTAATCTCTGGTTTGCATTCTTCACACAACACTTCTCAGAACCATTGTCAAAGTGAAGAACAGGCATGGCAGTGTGTCTCATGACTCTTTCTTCCAATGGTTTATGCACAGCCATATGCGATCTCTCCCCCATCAGCTACATAGGGTAACTATGTAGTAGAAATATTGTGGGAGTCAGAGGTATATGGATATGGAGACACTGACCTCACCCTTGCATATTCTGGAGACTTAGGAACACTGTATACTCTAGCCAAAGTGCACAAAGTGTACAGTCCAGAGACATGCACCAGGACCAGTCCTGTGGTGTAGTGGATCTAGCCACCGCCTGTGATGCCAGCATTCCATATGGGTGCTGGTTCGAGTATTGACTGTTGCACTTCTGATCCAGCTCCAGGCTAACGCACCTAGGAAAGCAGTGGAAGATGGCTCAAGTCCATGGGCCCCTGCACCCATGTGGTAAATCTGGATGAAACTCCTGGCTCCTGGCTTCAGCCTGGCCCAGCCCTGACAATTGCAGCCCTTTGGGGGGGTGAACCAGAGGGTGGAAGATTGCTTTCTCTCTCTCTCTCTCTCTCTCTCTCTCTAACTCTCTCTCTCTCTCTCTCTCTGTAATTCTGTCTTTGAAATATATAGAAAAAGAAAAAGACAACTCCTGTGCTAATGCCCTCTTATATACACCTTTCACAAACAGGTTACATATAACAGGTGACTGAAGCAGCTGTGGTATAGTGAAACAGGACAGGCCAAATAAGAAGATGAAGGTGCATTTAGACATGGGCTAGTAACATGCTTTGGCCCTATGGAAAATTACAGAATGAACTTTGGAGAAGATCATAACAATGGGTTAGGGGTAGGGCTGGAGATTGGGCAGTGAAGTTGACCCAGTAGTGTGGTCAGATTGGATTATGCAGTTCAGAGAAGCATACTTTATTGTCAGTCTCTGGGAGGACTGAGTGACTGAGTGGGGTCTGGGGATGATTTTATCTAATTGCCAGGGTGGAGCTGGGGTGGCAGGGACACAAGTGCAGGAGGTAGAAGTTGTCCCTCCTTCTCTCCCTGACCCTGCAGAGGGATGGTGTTCACTGGACCCACCCAGAAGCCCCCTTCCAGTACAGAACATAAATTGTGTGTTCAAACTTTCTCAGCATGGGCTCAGCTACACCAATCCCTCATAAACCATAGACTTTCTGGACTTTGTTTCCCTACAGGAGAAAAATACATGAAAGCTCAATATCATACATCTACCCTAATAGTGCACCTGCATTTGCTAGGCCCAATGCTCGTATTTCCTTTACTACTCGCTTGAAGCAATGAGCAGGTGAAAAATCTCCTGTAACAAGGCTAGAAAGGAAACTGCTTCCTTTGCTGGTAAGGCAGATAATCTTTTCCTGACTAATAAGTCACTGGAGACAGACTGAGACAAATTTGTATTCTGAAGAATCTTTATGTTCTGTTTTGGTTGATATTGGAAAGGTTTTTCTATAAGATTCACAAATTGCAGAAGAGTGCCCGTGTCTCCTCCCCCAGCTTTCCCCAATGCTAGCCTCTTACAGAACCATAATACATGACGCTGATATACAACCGTTAGCAGACAGAAGGTTCCTCTCTTATAAAGGCTGGAGGAAGAACTTACTTCTTCCATTACTTTGGCTTTTGCCTAGGGTAATCAAAGTGATTCAGAGCAGCAGCCTCTCTCCTGCAGTTTCCTCTCGCTCTGATTGAAGAACTACAATTATTAAGAATTGGATCGTTAGTTAGCAAATATGCCTACATCCAGTCACATCATCGGGTTTTGCCTCTCCTTGGGTGTTCGCATTTGGTTGGGTCCTGGGTCTTTGCTGATTCCAGAGATGCTGCGTGACTTCCAAGTCAATGTCCCCTATTCAGCTGCAGATCCCCAGTGCTCAGACACACAAGGACCAGCCACCGAGACAGCTTTTTGTCTGCTGATGGTTAGGAAGAGGACAGGCTGTGCTCCAGCTAATAGAGCCTCTATCTCTTTGAATCACACCCAGCTATTTCCAGGACATCATGCCGCTTCCTCATTTCCTTTGTCCCAGCCATCCATCTACAGCTTTATTACTGCAGTCCATACAACCCAGAAATCCCGTTTTTATGTGAATTGACTACAGATGGAGGAGGGTGATGAAGCTGTGCTTTCAGTATGGGTCAGATGCTGGTGGCATGAATTCTCCTGTTGTCTTCACCCATATAGTGTGCTTTTCAGTTTAATCATTTCACACACATTCAGGCCCTGGATGACCACAATTTTTTCAGTGCCAGTTGTTTTGAAACACTCTCCCAGGACTTTGTGAAGATTAATCAAGGACCCAAGGGGACTCCCCTTGTGGGCAGCAGGCTTTTCTTGTGAAGATTCTAATATCTTGTTTGCCTGAGGCTTAAACATGAATTGAAGCAGTCATCTTTGGTACACTTAAAAGGCACATCCCAAAGTAGACAATTATTTCGCCAAGTGTCTTGATATTATGGGCTCTACCTTGCCTTAGGTTGAAATGTTTGTTATGTCAACTGAGGCCGTGCCACCTTGCTAAGTCTATGTCTACCTATTGATGCTTGAGGAATGAACAAAATACTATTGCTAATCAGTTAAATTTTATTTTATTTATTTTTAAAAAGATTTTATTTGAAAGAGTTACAGTGAGTGAAGGAGAGACAGACACATACACACACACACACACACACACACAGATCTTACATACACTAGTTCACTTCTCAAATGGCCACAATGGTCAGGGCTGGGTCAGGCTGAAACCAGGGGCTTGGAATTCCATTCTGGTCTTCCACATGGGTGGCAGGGGCCCAAGTACTTGGGCCATTTTTTGCTGCTTTCCCAGGCACATTAGCAGGGAGCTGGATCGGAAGTGGAGCAACTAGGACTTGAACGAGCCCTCACAGGGGATGCTGCCATTGCAAGCAGAGGCTTAACCCACTGCACCACAACACCGGCCCCCTACACAGGTAAATTTTGTTGGTAAGGCATTCAAAACTTTTCTTTTTCTGATAAATTTTATAAAAACAAACAAACAAAAAAAGGAAAGGACAAGATGCTGAAGTTGTTTCCTATCAGACTGAAGGAGCAGGGCAAACTGACTTCGCAGTCCCACAGATCTTCCTTTGCAACACTGAAGTCATTAACGTAGAATTTACAGGCTCTGTCCCCAGAACGCTGTCTTCAGAGACTCAGATATTCGGTAGGAGCTGGGGTTGCATAATGATGTTATTGCTAAGAAGCAGCCTCTTGCATATATGGGGCTCTGGAAATGGCCTCCCTTATCAATCTGAGGAAAACCAATTTTTGTGAGCTTGGGTAACTTGAGAGAATTGGAGATTGATGCATTGGATCTTCAGCCAGAGTAGAATATGTGTATCTCTGCTAGTTTAGTTGATAACATTTATAAGAAAGAGTATGGAAGCTACATAAAAGATTAAGTCTGATGGCTATGTAAAAAAATTAGAGTTCTAGATGTGATAATGTTTAACATTACTTAATGTTAAACTCAGGCCTGGAGTCTGTGAGAACTACTCAGACTTCATGTGGTTTTGCTTTTTTAACTGTCTCTTTTTTAACTTTTAACTTTGCCTCTCAATTAATCAAGAAAGATCATTGATCATGACCTTTCTTATATCCTGACCCTTCACCTATAAATGAATTGCATTCAAACTTGCACTTGGTTCCTTTCACCCTATCTTGAGGTTCAGGCCTTGGTTAAAGACCAAACTCTCTACCTGTCTTTTGAGCCAATCACCCGCTTCTTTCAGAAACTTGTTTCATTTCTATACTAAACTTAACATTCTGGAAACATTTTTCCTTCCATTTTGGCAACCATTTTCTCAACTAATATTCTATACTAGACTGATATTTAAATTCCCTTTCTGAGGGTCCAAGATAAATTGAGAGGGGATAAAATGTATACAGATGTCCTCATTGCATTGATAATTTCATTTTGAAACATTTTTATAAAATGTACAGACTTGGTACCTATGGAGATGAATTTAAAACAACCTTTTCTATATTTAAAAAGCATAAGTCAACTCAAATCTCGTTAACTCAGGAGGCAATTTTATCTTATTTAAGCACCTGGTTTTTATAATAGGACACATATACCCACATGCTGGTATTTTGATAATTCACACTAATTACACAGGACTAATTTCTGTTTGAAGCATTTTAATGTGCATATTTCCTATTTTTCTGGCAAAATATGTTTATTAAAATATAGCATTTCATTATTTTAATATGGAGGAAAAGATGAGCTTGTCGCTTTCTCTTGAATCATGTTCAGTCTATATCAAATAAAGTTTACATTGTTTTTGACTAAAATCTTTGTTATGCCTTGCATACAATTAGACTGAGGCACAGTAGAAATGTGGCCATTAATGAAAACTAATAATAAGATGAACAAAATAAATATAATGTGTCCAAAAAATCGGAGGATGAGACATTAGCTCACACTGTCCTCTGATGACAAGTGCCCTATACTGCCAATGTCTTCAACTCCTTTCCACACTAACAAACATGAGACATGGAGACAATTAGTAACAAAGCTGGATATAATACTATGTAATCTGACATTTAATACAGTAAAGACAATAGGCTTAACACCATGTTTATACTCAAATATAAACAAACAGTTTTGGGGGGAATATGAGGTGGAAGAACTGTTTCTGATGTAGTTTAAGAAGTGAAATATAATCGTGCTTTTCTTGTTTGTTTATAAACA